TTCTATATGATGACAATACAGTTCAATTTAAAAAAAAGATATTCCATAAATTGTATGGGGATTTGTTATTGCCCAATGTAATTTCTTTTAAAGATTAATTGGAGATCTTGAGGTGCGGTCTGGTGGACGTAGCGGTTAGAAAAATTTTTTGTTAATATGCCAACGTTTCGATCTTTATTGCGATCATCTTCAGGGCTCAAATTGTGTGTTTTCCGTGTAGATGTGTCATTCTTGTCTGTCGTGTTGGGAGTGTTTATTTACAATCGAATGCGCCTGGAAATGTTGCATGAACATTTTTGTATGAACTGTGCCCTCACATTGTTTATGAGGACACAAGAAGATGAATATCAATCATCCTGGATGATCGAAGTACTACATTAAACATTCAGTTAAAACGGGTTCTTTTTCAACCAGTTTTAAGATGAAAATGTGATTGGCGAGCAGCGTTTTGTGCTCTGAAGTTCTAAAGAATGAAAACGTATCGGAGGAATATACAGGAAACACAGAAAAATATACCACTTTTTTATAAAGTATACTTGATGGTTGAAATGTTTTATATTTTGATTTCTTTCAAAATGGGTAATTATTTTTTACTAATAATTATGGTAAACGAGTTATTACTCGGGTTAATCAGATGTGAAAAGTGAATACCGATTATATATTTTTTCACTTTATACGAGGAATTTCAATTTAAAAAAATTTACAATCGTTCGATGGCAAGTGAGTGGGGTAACTAGATAATAACAAAAAATTCAAATGTTTTGTTGCTGGACAGTTCGATATGAGCACTAGAACAAGAAGTTCTAATTTTTACTATGTAGCAAGAATATTTTTCATTCGTTGAATTTATGGGGTTTTAAAAAACAAAACAAAAATCTATAAAGTTTTAACTTTGTATACGCTGTTTTAAACAAAGAATTTATGTAAAATATGTTGCATATAATACAGAAGAAATAAAACCCCTGTATCTAGTAATGGTTTTAATGTAAATCATGTATAAATTTTTCATCACGTGAAAGTTTTTTGCACCATGAAAAACATTTTGTTTTCATAATTATATAGAACCGTTAGAATGAAATTAACATTAGTTATTGAAACTTCGTTACATTTCGATTTAAGTTAAAAAAATTGTTGCAATTCTATTTTCAATTTTCTAATCTTAAAAAAAGTTTGGTTCATAAAACTTCTTGTTTTTATTTTTTTTATTCATCAAATCAGGAACAAGCCATCTTCTAAAATGTTTGAAGAGATGACTTTTCCTCACCATTTTTAAAATGGATTCGTGATCTTGACAGGACTTAGAATATACATATTCCACATGAGTTTTCTTTTATTGTCAATTCAGAAATGGTCCAATCTCTTTTCCAAATAAAACACCCCTTTCCTCTGATCACTCCTTTTCCTTTCGTCTAGATGACAGTCCTGATCTAATAATCCCTCAAAATATATACAATATGAAAGCATAAGTAACATAATATAATACAATAAATCAACAAATAAACTTCATGCTTATGTATTAAGCGCCTGTTGTTTCAAATTTTAACTCCGCCCTGTATACAAATTATATAGAACTACAGTTATGTAAATAATTTTAATTATCGCATGATAAATATTTTTATTATCAAAAGCAGATCAATACTAGAGCATGACTTGAATGAATTCTCATGAGAACGTTTCAGTAGGCAACGATTCAATTGGTAATTACAAATAACGGCTCATTAAATTTCAAATGGGGTTCAAAATTAACAATTAAAACGAAATATAATTAAGTTAAATCACTGATTCTCAAGTAACAATAATAAAATATGGTTATATTTAATACTAATTATGTGATAATTTTATCTTAATAACATAGTATAATTTATTATTATAATTACTTGAAATATTTTATGGTAACGTTATATACAACCCTTTTTGGAATAGCTAATTAAGCATTACTAAAGCCATAAACTTCAGACATTTGGGATTATTCATTATTACTTCATTATTAACAGGTAAAAAATATAATTGTTTACACCTGTTATTGCTTGGTGTATTTATTTATTGGTATTATATTCTCCGCTTTTAATGACGGTTGGAATTTTCTGGTTGTATTATAAACATTTAACTATTGTTTGAATTTAGTCGATAGTCTAATGTTGGGTAAACAAAAAATTGATACAAATCGAATATAACAGGACTTCATTATTTAATGTGTAATTTTTTTTTTTTTTTTTTTTTTTTTAAGGTGTTTTTGAACACTATATCGGGTTCGAAGCAGGGCCGCTGGATTCGAACTCGGGACCTTTACCTTGCAGTGATGAGCGTCGTGTCAACGCCTAAAACGTTGCGGCCACCGACGCCCCCATTGCTCATGTTGTTTGACGATTATTTTATTTGTCATATAAAATGAAAATAAAAAATGAATAAGCAAATGGGCGAGAGAGTGTGAGTGAGAGAAGATTGCAAAGAAGGAGAGATAGAGGGACAGCGATGGTTAAAGATATGAGCTAAAAAGTGATGGAAAGTAAGAGTAAATGAAAAAAATAAGAATACAAAATAGGATTGGTAATCTAAAATCAATTTAAACGAATATAAAACAAAACCGTCGAAGAGTTGTTGCAATAATTTTGAATTTTATAAGACAATAATATTTTATGCATAGATTGAAACTGGCTCCATGAGATTCTGAGCATGAAATGTGAAATATTTGTTTAATGTTGCGAATCAAGTTTTGTATTATATGAACAACATTTTTGAAGACTATCATCTTTCATTTGTATTCTGCGTCAGGAGCATCGGATAACATTTTCTCTTAAAAAACGAATCAATGTACAATGTATGTATAAAATAAATTAGGTGGTAGCATGAAATATTCGAACTGAATAGGGCTCTTTCTTGAAAAGTATTGTTTTTCACATTTCGGTACACGTATTCAAATTTTTTGTACGTATTCAAACCATTATTTATTTCATTTTGTAAACCGTAAAATATCGCACACCCCCAAGAAAAATGTCTAAGCCTAAAAATTGTAAAAACCGGATTATTTAGTTTATTTTTAAGTTTTTTTTTATTCGGGTGTGCGACGCTGCAAGAAAAATGATACTGCAGGTGGCAACAAATTGGCAAATTAACACTTAAACCTGTGTCGCGGTTTAAAGCATTGGTGTGAGTGTTTATCAGGAAAATGGCACATTTCGAGCTATGTCAGTTTTTTCTTGTTTAGTGATCGATTTTATGCTCTACTGGAGTCATATTTTCACATTGTTCAAAATACCGTACATCAATTGAACAAATATGTTTTTCTTAATGTGAAATTAATGTAGGCCCTGATCATGACCTTAAAGTATGTCGAAAGCTTACAGTAACAACTGAATTTACTTTTTTCTTCAAGACTATACGTGTTCTGTAGTGTTTCTGAATTATTTTAGTTTAGTTTCTTTTATTATAATAACATTATTACGTGTAATACTGTTTTTTCACATTTTTTACCACTGTTGTCTGTTAACTTACATTAGTTTATCGTTTCAAAGATTTTTTAATGTTTTAATTACGATTAATTAAGGTTTTTAGTTGAGATAAAAAGTCAGTGTTATGAGCGGGATTCGAACCCACGACCTTCGGCTAAATACGCCACTTCTCTACCACTTGAGCTATCGTGACTTTGACTCGCTCGGACACTAACTTCCCATCTCAACCTCACCTTTTGAATTTTCCCTCCTTTTTGCCATTTTTCAAATGCCATTGATGCCATATGTCGCCGAGAATCAAATAAGTTACACGACAAAATCCTTAATTAATTGAAAGATATTAATTGGTCAAGCGGGCCACAAAAATTAGTGAATTTAATAGCTTTAATTACATTATTTTTAATAATCAATGAAATCTTTATTTCAATAATTAATTTTGTATTTTAAATAACTAATTAGCCCTGACTCCAAGAAGAAAGCCCATTTGAGTCATAAATAATCTTGGTAAAACTTACTACATGGATATTTATGCTCGTTTGTTAGGATAGTATGTTATATATTACTATCAGGTAGAAATTAATTACCCTTACTGTCATCTATTGACCACCATTATCGTTAATGCGAACAAACTAACTTAAATTACTGAGAGACAATATACGCAAAAAAAGACAACTCAAAAAGGGGTAGTTTTTTAAGAGCAGTCAGCTGGATTTTTACAGTTTTGGGTTTTCGTATAAGTCGTGGAGAAACGAAAGACAATATTGATGGATATATTCAAATTTGTAACTTTGTTCCAACTATGATTATTGAAAACATTAATAAATAATCAGTATTTTTAAAACTCCTTCGTACGAGTAGTAGTTACATAAAAAGCTTTTTCCATCTTCTTGTACTTCTTCTATTCCATTGTATCTATTTTCCAAATTTAAACATTAACGCATTGACCTTACCTATCTATCTTGTGCACTGGCTATTTCGACTCTTTGTACTTTTTATTAACCACATCACATTTAATCAACATAAATTTCATAAAGTTCATCCATTTTAATAAAGAATTAAATTCACTAATTTCGTTGTCCGCTTGACCAATTAATATATTACAATTAATTAAGGTTTTTAGTTGCCATTTTTCAAATGTCGTGTAATCGGATTTGATTCTCGACGACAAATGAAATGTCCACGGAGAGCTTTAGTGAAGTATAGTTAATTTTAAATCATTAATTTCTCTAATTTCGTGGTCCGCTTGACCAATTAATATCTTTCAATTAATTAAGGTTTTTAGTTGAAATAAAAAAAGAAAAATTGCAAAAAGGAGGTAAAATTCAAAAGGTGGGGGTTGAGATGGGAAGTTAGTGTTCGAGTGGATCGAGGTCACGATAGTTCAAGTGGTAGAGCCGCGGCGTATCTAGCCGAAGATCGTGTGATCGAATCCCGCTCGTGCCATTGTCTTTTTTATCTCAACTAAAAACCTTAATTAACTAAGAAAAAATGTTGAATATTTTTAAACAAATGGATATTACTTATATTTTTATATTTTATTTTTGTTCACAGAAAGGTGGAGTGTACACCTGCCAAGCTGCAGACGGCGTGTGGTCCGGAGAGGCGTCAGGACGTCTCGACGTTCTCGATAGACTTTTGGTCGGGTCGCGATGCCCGGCCGAAGGACCTTGGCCTCCGGCAAGTCCTGGACTCCAGGCCCAGGCACAGTGCCCTAGGGGATACACGGGTATCGCTACCAGGCTGTGTTTGCTTATAGAGCCGGGGAAAGGCAGGTGGCAGGTCCCAGATTTTTCCAAATGCGTTTCTCACCACACCACCACTATCACAAATAACGTAAGTCACTATTGCATACTGTTACATTTATAAAAGAAAGTTGAATGCCTAAAACCATTCATGATATCAAACCATCGTATAATGAATAAAACCTAAATGTTTGGTTATTCAATAGCAAGCAGTTTTAAAAAGTGCTTTCCTAAAGTATTCGACAATTATGTTGTTGAAAAACTAACAGCTTTTAAAATGAAAATTTCTCGTTTCATCATAGCGCTTTTGAACATGTAGGTTGGTAGTTTTCAATCATTTTAATTATTTTTGCTTAATAATTAAATTTCACTACATGTATGTCACATCAATTTAAACGTCGCCGTTGGGTAGGTTGACAAGCCAGATGTTTACTTCAAGCATTATTGTTAAAATAGCGTTGTCTAGTTCCCTTTGATGTTTTTAGCTTTAGATAACGTGCACATTTTAGTTTACATAACGAACAATACGTTCCCTACAAGTTTGAATCCTTTGAATAGACTGGCACCGCAAGTCAACACGGGATTAATATCCTGATGGTAAACATGGGTTTGATTGTAACGTGCTTTGCCAGTCATGCAAGGAACCCATTTACATTAGAGATATTTTCGGTAATCATTGTATTATTATTATTCTTTTCATTTGATTATTTGAGTGGGATCAAGTAATGACTCCAACCTTATCTCCACTGCGATCGAACATGGGTGAGACACCTGATCTTCAAATATCCTCTGCTTGAGAGAGAAAGAGAGAGAGAGAGCTCCTATATTCCATGACCAGAACCACCTTTTTTTGATTTTGTAAATAAATTAAGTGACTACCTAGTGAAAATGTTAGACAATAGAATGCTCTATTTGAAGTACTAAATTAAGATAAATTTAAATAATATGTAAATCAACTTGTAATATATTATAAGCACTTTGTATAATATACTCTCTTCCCTAAAGATTACTATGGGAGGGAAAACCACTATATATGTTTAAGACTCAGATTACCGTTGATATTGCATTCGGGGTCTTTTCGCGTACTTCTTTCGGCATAAGTGCCTCGCATGCACTAAATGAATGTGCCGATATCTTTTGATTAACAGTACCGGCATTGCCCATCTTTAAGTAGTAGTGTGTGGTGATTAGTGACCGTTAGTCTATGATTATTCGGAAATCGTGAGATGCAGTCGGGTCTGACGTAGGTTTCAAAAAAACATTTTCTTTATCGTGCCAACGTTTCGATCTTTATTGAGATCATCTTCAGGGCCTGGGATTTACAAAGATTGTTTAAATTTAACAAATACATGTCTAACGTTTCGATTTGAATCTACCGCCATGCCCCTTCACACACATCTGACAGTGAAAGGAGTAGGGGCTAGGAAAGGGCTATTTTTTCAATCAAAAAACCAATTCCATTTTGGTCCTCCATGGGTTAAGAGCTGTTTATTTGTAATTAAGAAAATTTGGTGTGCACACAATTGAAGTGAGTAAATTTTATATTTTGACGTCAAAAAACCAGAAAATAGTGATTGTATTTTAATGTACAAAAGGATTGTAACAAAAAATATATTTTTATAAAGAAAACATAACGAGATAGGGTTTGATTTTAAAAGTTATGTTAAAATATTAATTGTATATTCTAATTGGTGGTCAAAATTTAATAATAATAATAATTTCTTTTACTTTTACTTTTCTTTATAAAACGAGAATTAAATTCGATTTAAAAATTAATGTTTGTAGATTTTTAAATAGGTTTTATTATAGAATAAAAAATCCTTTAAATTAAAAATAACAACTAATAAAAGAAATTGTAATTTTATTTGGAAATAAAGTGTAATAAAAGATTTAAATTTAATTAAAATTTTGGTCTCGTATTTATTTTGGTTTGAATTGAATATTGGAATTTCATATATCAAAAAAAGGTGCCTGATCAATAAATTAAAATATTTGTAGTCAGGTCCGATAATAAAAAAGCCTCTGGGACCTTGTTTTCGGTTCTCCGAATTCAGGGTTGGACCCAAAACAGAAAAGACGCGCTTACACATGTAGGATGTGGAAAAAAGTGAATAATGCAAAAAAAAATTATATTCGAGAAAGAATTACGCACAAAACAAACACTTTGTGTGAGTAGAACTACTAGACAAAATATAGAAAATATTTTTTTGCATTGTATAAATAACTTTTTTCCACATCCTACATGTAGTTGTTAAATTTAAACAATGTTTGTAAATCCTAGGCCCTGAAAATGATCTCAATAAAGATCGAAACGTTGGCACGATAAATAAAATGTTTTTCTGAAACCTACGTCACACCAGACCTTATCTCACGATTTCCGAATAATTTTAGGTAGTAGTTAAGTAGGCACTGGCTGATATAGAAGAATATAATTTTTCTCAAATTTATTGCTGATGAAGAGTTCTTTCGCATTCCGTTTTGCAGTGCTTTTATAGCTGTCTGATTGTCCGAAAGTGCATGGAATCACCGTTCATTTTTTTCTTTCAAATCAAATCTTTTAAAATTTTTGTTGAGATATTTACTCGAAGAAATATATTTTTATCTATGAAAAATCCAATGTGCTATTTGGACTTTGAAAACCAACTATATTGGGTGGAAGAGAAATTTACTTATTGTACTGGGATTAAAACCAAGATTTTTATCTTAAAACTGCAAGATAATGAAACTGCTTTTTGCTGGTTTTCGATCATTCTGGTCTTCCTATTCTTAATGTTTTGGTTTATCAGACTCCTTTTAAAATTGGGGAATGTTCTACTCACTTTGTTAGTGTTTATCATTCATATGTCAAACATATTGGGGTATTATGTATTTGGTAAGGCATTATTGTCAGTTACCTTTGACGTCTTTTTCATGCATTGTAAGATGATATAATTAAGAAGTACACCACCATTAAAAAAAAAGAAAAAAGCCACACAAATTTTATGTTGATCGTTTTTGACAACTTGTCTGCTTACCCTTGCTGCTTTGGTCTGTAGAACGCCTTTAAACTTGTTGCACGTTTTAGTTGGTGAAAGATTTATGCAGTGTGAAGGGTAATCAAAAAACGTAATTAAATATTAACACCGAACTACTAGCAAAATATCTATGGTTTTAGCATGTTATGTCTAGTTAAATTATGTTTAACCTAAATTAATTAATTAAACCTCTGACAGAAAGATGAAGATCGCAAAATCTCTTACAGACCAAAACCGGTCAAATACTGCTTGTATTCAAACATCTAGAAAAAAATATTTTGTGAAAATTCCATGCATCTAGTTGATACTCTTAATAAGCCAAAAATTGTTAAAATTTAAGTTGTTTTTTATGTTAATATTTATAATTGAGAATTAATAAAGTCTATTTTACAAGCTGATCTCATGTTACAAAACTCAATTTTTACCATAACCCTGCCTCAAAAATTTCATGAATCGATGATCGGTAGGCTGTTCATTAAAGTTAAGTACTATATTTAGTACAATTAATGGAAGAGTTACATTCTTATATATTTACAGTTATGTAGTCAAGTCATGTTTAAATTTCCTACACTGTCTAACCTCGTTGCTTTTGATGGTGTGTTTACGTTGGTTGCTTACCCTTTCATATATCCCTGATCAACTTTTCTAGATGAAAATGAGTCTAATATGCCCAGACAATGCCACAAAAATTATAAAGTTATCAGACAAGAACAAACAATTAACATTATCTTTAGCTGGTTGGTTTGCTTACGAGTTTCCCTCTTACTATGTTCTTTACTAATCACATGAGAAGGATAAATACCTCATGCAGACCAGAAAAGCAAGGATAGCAAACGCCAAAAATACATGTTTAATATTCACTGTACCTGGTGGGTTCGTTTTCGAACCTCTCCTTGCCTATAATCCAGACCATCCACTTCAGATTTCGAATTGCGCCTGACAGGTCAAATAGACATCAAACGTAAAAATTCATGTGAAATGCACTCTGAAGTTGGTGGGCTTGTTTCCCTATCCCACCCTGCTTTTATCCTTTGTTAACAACTTAATATGACAGAATGCGCCCGAACACCCAAAATCCAGATTACAGGTAAACAAAAATGTTCAGAAACTACTTACACACTAGACTAATTCTATGTGAGCTTTTAGCTGGTTAGCTTTAGCCTTGTTACATAAATAAACAACAGCTGAACATTGAACTTTTCTTAAGCGGGCGTTGAATCAGTGCGGTACTTGCATTGCTAATGTGTCGTCATTTATCGTAGTGTGCTATCTAATGAGTACTTTCCATAGTTGTAAGACATATTTAAACCACAGGGTTGTAATATTTTATATAAAAAAGATTATAACGTCCATGGTAAGATAATTTATTTTCATGATTTTTTTTATTCTTTTTAAATATCAGAAAATGGATTTGATATCAGTGATAAGTAACTAGAATGAGAATATAGTTCCAGAAAATCTCCATTCGTTTTCATGTTTGACAGATTGGTGTTTGTTGCTGATTTTCATAAAGGGAAAAATATCGGCTTAGCTCGAATTATTTTGTACCCAGACTGCAGTTCATGAATTATTTAGTAGATTACAAATTTAATATTTATTTGTTTCCGAGAACTACACAGTGGAATTATTTGCATCGCTGTAACACGATCGTACATATCAATATTTATAACGTGAATTGTGTGAATAAATTCTTTTGTTAAAGATGTTATTAATAAAATTGTAAAGTTCTATTTTGTTAAGAAAAATTATTACTTATTCAACTAATTAAGGTTTTAGTTGGGATAAAAAATCAGGGTGACGAGCGGGATTCGAACCCACTACCTTCGGCTTGATACACCGCTACTCTACCAATTGAGAGGTGGGATTGAGATGGGAAGTTAGTGCCCGAGAGGATCGAAGTCACGATAGCTCAAGTGGTAGAGTAGCGGCGTATCAAGCCGAAGATCGTGGGTTAGAATCCCGCTCGTGTCACTGACTTTTTTATCTCAACTAAAAACCTTAATTAAATGAGTGACATTAATTGGTCAAGCGGACCACGAAAAACAGTGAATTATTATTTTTGTTTGTTCTCATTTTC